TTTTTTTTTTTTTTTTTCAGAAATCTCGACAACAAAACAACTTAGAATGTGTTTCATCTTTTGGATGAGGATTACTCTCTGACACTTGACGTTTCTATCTGTAAGCAGGTAGGAACAAGACCCTTAATCTTGTTTCTCTGCTCTAAATTTTGACACTGGTTTGGTTTCTCAAATGATCTGCTGATAAAAGCCTTCCCAGTAGCTCTTCATTTGCTACAGAATGGCTGAACACTGCCATTAGATTTTTGTCTGTGGAGTAACCACACAGACCAAACCATTTGCTTTTGTTAGTGGATAAAATGCACCTGATGGTGTTTTCTTCCCAAGCTCATACTTGAAAAACCTACGAATTAAAAACAAGATCCCATTTTTGAAACATATCGTGGTGTTTGCATGGTCAGAGAGGTGCGGGGGGGGGGTTGTTTTGGCTTGTTTTTTGTGTAATGAACACTGAATAGATGGTAGTTGCATATGTGTGCATGTAATGCCTGTACTGTACCTTCCTGCTGCCTGAAATTTAATTTTTAAGGCTTACTGCCATTGCCCTGCTGTTAATGTTAGTGTGGGCTCAGGAAGTGCCAGCAGTGCTGATGAGAGCACAGAGCAGGTATTCCAGGTAGATTCATGTTGTATTTACCTCACCTGAAATGCTCCTCTCTGCAGATTTGCTGTTGGCCACTGCTGGAAGAAGGTTGGTGTGTTTGGTGGCTTCTCCTCCCGCCCATGAATAGCAGCAGTTGGTAGCTCAATATTTTCTGTGCACTTTTTCACAGAAATAGATTGCAGAAGGTGTTTTGGATGTGCATTTTGCACATGTTTAGTAGTTGCTAGGGTTTCTGAATCTCACTCTGCATTCCCTTTCCAACTTGGACAAAAATGTTGAGGTGTGAAAATGTCTGATTTTGTATTTCTCTGTTTTATTTATTTCACTGATCTTGTCCTAATCCTTCATGAAATTTCCTAGACGGTTTCGTTATTGATATGTATTGATATGTAACTATGTGGGCCACTTACATACCACAGAACATTGTGCAGTTTGACTTCTCCTGTGGCTCAGAGGCAGTCACTTCCAACACAGAGTGCTATTTCTCCACACAGGTTTCTTCTAAATTTAATTTTTAGCTTAAAGTTATGAAGGTTGAAAATTTTTAGTAGTTACCTAAATTAATCTTTGTCCTCCCTGAAGACACAAACACTTCTTAATTAAATACATAATGGATTCTATTAATTCTGTTTCTTACAAGGAACTGATTGCTGCAGTCTTCTTCCTTTACTCAAAAATGGAACAATCACACAACACCTCAGTCCATTATGGATGTCCTTATCCGTGGCCCATGATCCTGTATGTCAGGATTAAATAAGAGAGAAAATTATTCAGTTTATAAATCCTCTCATAAAACCTGGTACCTTTCTTTTTCTCCCAGTTTTAGAAAATTCAGATTCACTCCATGTTGCTCTCTCCTTCTCATGGTTAATGTTGCTTTATATCTGGGCAGAAGTAATTTGTGCAAGACGCATTGCTTATAGGACAGTGCCTAAAAATACTTCAAAAGGTCATTGCACATCAGACAGAAGGCAGCACTTGTTCCAGCCACTCGCACTGAGAACGACAGGTCTTTGTTAATATTAATTGTGCATATTTTAGACAGTGTATGCTTTAAAAATACATTGCACAAACATGCAGTGATGAGCATTTTGTGAGCCCTGGGACTGGATAACCGGGGTCAGTTCTTCACTGATGATTCGAGCAATAAATGTTTGCTGTTCTTATTAGCTCTGAGGTTTGTGAATTAGAGCCATATTGTGCATCTGCTTCCAGGAAAGTGGGTATATTTTCACGCTCGCCATTTCCAAAAATACAAGCAAAATTAAAAATAGTAAGAGAGACGTATAAAGTACCACGAAGATTCAGAGCTAATCATTTGCACAAACATTCACCATGATTGTGCTTATAATAGTAATGATGTACACAGAACATGGGAAAAAATCTGCTGGGAGAGCAAGGCCAGATTGAGTAAAACTGAAAAGTAGCTCCCAACATGTAACATACACACAGAGTCATCTTTTCTGCCATCCCTTCAAAATCAAAAGCCATGATTCTCTCTTCAGGTGGACATCATCCAGGAATGATGCTTTTACCAAAAAACCCTCTGAGACTTTTTATGTCTCCAGAGGAAAGGCTGCAATATCTGAAAGGCTGTAGGGACAAAGAAACCCTGACACCTGGACACCATTCCCATCAAGGCCACCTCACTCGAGCTCGCTCAGTTTGTTCTGTAATTTATCTTTAATAAGAAAATGTTGAAAAGATCTGAATCTGGCTGTGCATCAAAGGCACTGAAGCTGTGCAGGTACACCATTGTTTATAATGTGACAGTGTTGTGTGGCAATTTACAACCCAAATTTATGTTGCTATTGACTATGGCCTTTTTTTTTTGAAAACTGGTGCATAAGTTTGTTTACAATGGTAATTATTTACAGGTTTAGAAGCAAAAAAGAATGCTGGAAGAATGAAACGTGGTGAAAGCGAACACGTCACAAGTCTGGAAGGTGATGCTGTGTAAGTAAAGCCATTTCAGAACTTCTTCAAATGCAAAGTTTGTGAAGATGAGCATTAATTCTCTTTTGGAAGAAAGAATGAGGTAGAACAGATCGGGTAGTTGCCAAGAAAATGGTTTGAAAGAAAGTAATGTGCACATGTTGACATTTCCTGCTTTTACATAATGTTTTTAAAAAACAACTTACGAAATAGCCTTCAGTGGAATAATTGTGTTCATTAGTGGGGTAGGAAGACAAGCATTTCCAGCACCTCAGAAAGGCAGTCTTGCACTGTACCTCTCTTCTGTCACATTTGACCACCCCAACACATGCCTTTATTTTGTTTTTGAGAAAGCAAGATGCCATGACATGAACAAAAACTGAGCAGCATCTTTTACCTGCCGTGTGTGCAAACTGTTCCACCTGAGGGGTTAAATGTGAGGAGAACTTTGTCCACCTTCCCGTGGCTGCCCACTTGAGGTAGAAAATCATGGGCTCTGACTGCCCGGGGCACAGCTTTCATTTCTCTCTTCCTCTGAGCACGGTTACAATTTATTGGCTCATCCCCCACTCTCCCTCCCTGAGAATCAAATCCACGAAGCAGGTTTTGGAGGGGAGGGTGTTGGTGGGTTGAAGGCTAAGGAATATCTTCCTCCCTGGTCCCTCCATGCAGTCCCTGCCCTGTGTGCTGGATGTCTTCTACCTCTCTGCTGCCGGGAGATTCCCTGGAGATTCCCTGTGAGAACCCAGTTTTCCTCCCTGATCACAATACACCCCACCCCACCTCAAGCATCCTGTAGCTCTGCAAATAATGTTCTGCTGCCTTGTTTTCAAGTACCATTTGAACATATGCTGTGTGTGGAGATGCTGATGGACAGCAACATCTGCTGCTCCCAGCCAGCGCCTACACTCTTATTTGGGCTGTAATTACCTCGTTGGCTGCGAGCTGTGCCCTGTGTTTGCCCACTATCTGTTCCTGTCAGGTCTCTGTCTTCTACAAACTGCCCATTATGTAGCGATGATAATTAAATCTCCCCTCTGCCAGGCAGGTCTGAGCAGTGCACGAAGGGCCCTCCTTGTCCGTGCAGCTGCCAAAGAAGCTGCAGTTTGTAATGATGCCGTAATCACCTGCCGGCTCCACAATGCCCGGCACCACCTATTTGTTTCCAACAAGCTTTTTTAGCAGCTGTCAGATGCTAACGGCTTTCAGCTGCTGACAACCTGTGTCCCGTGCAAAGCCGGGGACATATCATGGGAGAGTGCATAAATATTCATGTGGGACTAACAAAACCAAAAGTGCAAGCGTGGTTATCAGAGCTCCCCTGTGAATATATTGTAGCTGGCCCTGTTGTGGTGGTTCTAGTGTGATGAATGCAGGGTAAATGTTTGAAAGTAATGTCCTTTTTACACTTGTGAGAAAAAAAAAGTGGGATTGCAGGGGCACGTGGGTAAGAGCAGGATTTGTGCCCTGCACGATGCAGTTCTTGGTGGGGCATTGCTGTCTGTCGTGGGTGATGTGCTGAAAATTGTTATTGAAAGAAAGGAGTTGCTGTGTTTGCTCACATGTCTCTTCTGAACCTGCCTATGAAGATTTGAAAGTTTCTCACCGGGTCTGTTCTAGATACTTAAGGAACACAAACCCCCACAGACTGAGCTCAGTGCTTTAGTTTTAAAAATAATTAAGTAATTCCGAGACTAGGAATGTATCTGATTTGGTCAAAACTTGATAATTTCCCACCTCTCAGCACCCTGAAGCCTCAAAGCTTTGACATCAGAATAGAAAAACTGTGAGTCAGTTTTTTTAGACAGACTGTTTTACAAATTAATGCTGTCAACGTGTCTGCATGGGATTATTTTTATTTTGTTGGTAACATGCTTTTACTTTTCTCGGCAGTTTCTGGATAGCTCTGCTGAGAGGAGATGTTCAGATTAAAGTGCAAGATGGGGATGATGAAAATTCTGGGACAGCAGTCAGTGGACAAGGATGAGGGTCCTCTTGAAACTCTTCCTTTGGAGGTCCCTGTAAGTTATGTCAGAGGCCAGTGAGACCCATTTGCTCACGTTTCTCTGCCATATCAGTAACTTGCAGTAACATCCCAAACGTGAAAAGTGTTTTTAATTGGCCTTCTGTAAAAGAAATTGATTTTGGGGAGACTAATAAGGTGTCTTTATATATCCCTTACTTCTTCTGCCCAGAATGAAGTTTACCATTAAAATTCCCTAAAAGGTTTTAGGATTGCATGAAAAGTGCAGAGCTGGGCAGGGATTGAATCCTGCAAACTGTTGAAATGCAACTGATTCTGCTTATGAGAACTTCAGTGGGAAAAATTCCCACTGTGATTTGACTGTGGTCTGATTCTCATTTGCACTGACTCTCCTATATCCTGCTGGAAATGGGTAGGATTCAATCTTGAGGGAGGATGACCATATAAGAAATGGTTTTTGGGTATGTGGAAACAAGACAGACTCCATTAAGGCATTCTCTTACCTTCATCTAAATCTGAAAATAATCATAAATTGGTAATGGTACCTTAATTACCTTGAATAATTATTCATGTATCTTGTGTGTGTCTGTATTTGTTTGGGGAAGCAGTCTTGTGAAAATGAAGTTAATTCAGTGTCTCAGATAAAGGATATTTGTTAGAAATTGTTGTCATAATAGTTACACAAAAGGATTCAAATATTCTCTAGCTTAGTATGAATAAAATATTAAAAGATACAGGTGTTGTTCATGAACCATCAAAGAGTTTTCCACTGCCACTGTGTTTTATTAAAATGAAAAGAAGAAGAGAAAAGAAAAAAAGCCCTGTGCTAATCCTTTCCTTTGTTGCTTAAGGGACGTTTCAGTATAAAGTAGCAATTTCCATATCATTTGAATAGCAGTTGCAACCCACTGATGTTTAAAGTAAAATGTGCAACTACTGTAATCAGCAAAACAGATGCAAATGTGTTGTCTGTCTCCCAAGTGTAGCTCCCTGCTTGCTGTCTCCGTTAGATTTAGAGTGGAAAACATGATCAGATAATGGAAAACATGGAAGCTATTCTTTTATCTCTTTCATAGCAGTAGTTTGTTCAAAAGCAAGTTGGCTGGATGCAGCACCGAGTGAGAGTCCCGCAGCAGCACCCCCAACCCCCTGCTCAGGAGCTGCAGGAGATGCCAGCGGTGCTTTGGAGGTGGGAAAGGGACCCACCACCCTCTTCACTAACCCAGCCCCTGCCCCTGGGGACAGGAATGGCCTTTTGGCTCTGTTTAAGCCCAGTGGCATCCCAGTGCAAGTCTCTGCACATTTTTGTAAGTAAGCAATAACAGAAATAAATGACATTTAGCATTTAGATCCCAGACCAGTGGTTTTGGTTGTGCTGGGTACAGTATAGCAGGCTAGATAAAACCCCGCTGAGCTCCCTGAGTTCTGCCATCCCAGGCTTTAGGTGGCTGGAACTGTTCCTCAGAGGACTTTTAAACTCTAAAAATAACCTGTAATGGTATGAGGAAAGAGTTTACTTTATCCTTCGCATTTCCAAATTTAACAATGAACACATGTCGATGGTGCCTTTCTGTGCTTGGTGTATCTGAGCTGCTGGCACAGGGACTAGAGCCAGCAAGGGATTTCCATCAGAATGACTTCTGAGTGAAACTGCCCTTCTTGGAAAAGGGAAACCTTCTCAACAAAAGGCTTGATGAAGCCTCCCAAACAGGTTGTCGATGTGATGAGAAACCTGTTTTGCTTCCTTGAGAACACTTTCCTGGAGAAAGACTCGTTTATGGGGGTTTTTTTTAAATTAGTATTTTTCCTAATCAGGAGGCATCTTACAGAAAAGGATTTCCATCTTGTGGTCAGCTGTGGTAATAAAACACTCCTGCTGGACTTTTTTTTTATAGCAAAACAAAATGGTTTTAATAAAAAATAATGGAAATCTCTTGTAGTTCCTTGTGAAGGTAAATGTTGGAGACTTCACAAAGTCTGTTTGCATTTGCACAGAAGGTAAAACTATTTTAGGATTAGCCACCTTCAGAAGGTCATCTTTGGAACGAAAAAGTATTAGAAAAGGTGTAATACAAGCTATTCATGACAGAATATTCAATTTTGACAGATTACACAGCGTGTGGACCTCAGGAGCCACACACAGGAGCCCAGAGAGAATTACTTGTAACCTTAGTGAACGAGAGGCAATTACTCCTGAACTCCTGGGAAAACTTCTGTCCAGAGCCAAATATTGTTGCTTGGATTGTTTGCTATTCCAGGATGACTCTTAGGCTCAGTACAACGTCATCATAACTTCATGCAGATATTTGTTGTTCAGGACGAGTCTTGAAACTCATGCTCTAATCTCGAAATAGTAAAATGCTGCAGGGTTAAGTGGTGGAGTTCACTGGAAAATCTGCCCACTTCAGTGGGAAAGATTTTTTAATATATTAAAAACAAAACAGATTTGGAAAGGTCATTTTAAATATTAAGAACTGTGGCTGAAGGGCAGGGCTGTGTGCTGCAGAAGTTTTGGCATTCAGGATCTCGTGTAGGTGCTCTGTAAATGACCTCTCTTGTACAAGCCCACAAGGACAGGTGGGGCCGTTAAAAGGGATAATTAAATTCTTATATTTAATTATCTTTCTTGTCCAGTTGTGCACTGAGATGCCCCCACTGATTGCACTGATTCTGACTTCAGCAAGAGCTGGACCAGCCCTGAATATTTATAAGGAGAGTTAAATAAGATCTCAGATCAAATTCTTAGAGATACATGTAAGAACTTTGTGAGTCTTTTTTATTTTGAGGGCTTGTAACTAAAGGAGATGTTCAGTGTGTTCCTTAGTGGGTGCCAAAAAGCTTATTTTCAGAAGTGTCTGAATCTCAGGGAAAGTCAATGACTGCTATATTTAATCTGAAGTCTATGCAAGTGCTGCTGAAATCAAGCTATGTGCTTTTTGTAATAATGATATGAAAAAATAGAGCATTTATATGAAAACTCAGGAACCATGCATGTAACTTACATGCCAGGGTAATGTAGATTTAAAAAAAACAGTTCAACAACATGTCTGAAGTTGTGCTGCAAATATTACTGTAAGGAAAATAGAAATTAAGAAAATATTTGTGAACTCTTTGCAGTATTTGGTAAATAGTTTCCAGAAAAACTGACATCTGAACTTTGTACACAGGCCTTGTTCTGTTGGTAACTACAGCCAGTGGAAGTTTTTGCCATGGTCTCTACTGAAACAGGATCCAATTCTTTTTTTTTTCTTCTTATGTGGAGATATAAATCTTAGACCTTAATTACACTGAAGAAGGAAAATACTTTGTCTTTTTATGTAAAAAAAAAAAAAAGTCATCTAACTATTAAAAAGCATTAAACAATACTTGAGGAAAGGCTTCCTTAAATCAAACAAATCTCTCATTTTGCTTTTAGGCCTTCCTGGAGGGTGCTGTGTTTATACTATTTACTTTAAGTGTGAGAACTTTGTGTCAGATCAAACCATTAGCAACTCTCCGGGCAGCAAATGGCAAAACACAGCTCGGGGCCCCTCTGGAGAAATGCAGTTTCCACACTTTCACGTTTCACCACAGGATGCAAGTGGTGAGGAGAAATCAGAGAGGAGAGAGGCAGATAACTCAGCACCGAGGGGAGCAGCTGAGCCCTCCCAGGGTGGCTGTTGGGCAGCCCTGGCAATGCCATGCTGGGCTCTTGGAGCATCCCTGGCCACCCCAGAAACGATGTGTGATGGGGGTTCTGCACCCAGCAGAATTCTGGCTCAGTCTCCAGGGTCTCTTTCCAAGTTTGGACTATTCTGTAAACTGCAATATGTACATGGATGGGCATTTCTTCTTGCAAAGTTTTGGGAGCTCAGGCATTGTCCCTTGCCTGTGATAAAGCTGGATTGAAAGGCTTTGAGCTTGCTGGTGAAGATGCTGGTTGAGAGATGAACAACTTCTTTCTTAAATTTACTGGATTGTTTCCTTTGCTTCGGACTACTGACTAATTACATCCTTTGAAAAATGTTTCATTTATCTAGTTCTTTGGGCCCAGTGCGCTGTCTGTCAACGAAGAAGTGTTTTATTTGTATTAAATTGCATTGACAAACATCCCTTTTCTAGTGTGGAGGTGAGGTTTGTGCACATGCTTGTGTTTTCATTTCATATATAAGCTCTCGTGTCATCCTGACAACAGTGGGTGGGCACCCTCCTCCCTGCTTCTGCTGTTTCTAGCCTTGGAATGGACTATTTTGTGCAAGTTTTGGTTCCCACATCCTCAGCTCTTCAAACTGTGAGGCAGAAAGTAAGTATGAGTGTTTTGGAGAGAGCTGGCTGACCAAATGGCCCGTTGTTTTTTTCCTTTTATTACCAGTTGCTAAGAAATGTGTGAAGGAAGCTGTCAAGCACACTTTTATGGGATTACTTTCCATATAAATGGCTGCCAGGATCACCGAAGTGTGGCCTCAGAGGAGAGAGGTAGCAGCTCCCAAGGTCAGGAACCGCAGGGAGGTGTCCCGGGCAGGGACTGGCAGTGACTTTCAGATAGACAGGGAGACACTCCTGATGTGGCTCCCCTGGGCGTGCTCTGTGCCAGGACACATCATGGAGAGTTTTTCTTGCCTTAGAAGGGGCTGTTCTGGCTGCTGTGTTTGGTTCTCCTTGGAAGTGGGAAGTGCCATGTTTTGCAATCCCAGCACACAGTGGAAATGAGGGGTCTGGATAAGGGATGGAGTTCACGGTGCCTGAGAGCAGAGCTTTCATCCATCTGAAACGTTGGTAGTTTCTATGTCCAAAATATTGTGATTTTTTTCCATTGACTTTCATTTTTCTGCAGTCCCTTATCCATGGGCAAGCACTGTGGCACCAGGCTGCAGCTTTCAACAGCAGCATCACTAGTTTATTAGCTTGTGGCCTTAGGCAAACCTGAAATCATTAACAGCCCATTTGTTGGGCTAATGACTCTTTTTTACTAGATGTATAATTTAATATATGGTTACTTTCATGCCTAATTATGCTCTTCAAAGCTTCTTTTGAAGGAATTTATTTTTCTGCATGCGTGTATTGAGAGGGTTGGGAGCTGGCTGGCTTTTCTTGCATGCTGCCCTGTGTTAAAATCTAGATAGTTTATGTAAAAAGATTTTAATTTAGATATGGGAATTTCCCCCGTTGCTCATTCTTTCAATATTTTTATCTTTGAGTGCTTGAAAAATAAATAGTGGTGAATTACCAACAGGTTTTAAATGGCATCATTTCATGTCCTATTGTAGCTTGGTACATTGTTTTGGACAAGACGTAAACCCAAAGTCCTGATCAATAGGGCCATTGTGGCAGCAGCTTCCAAATGAATGTGAGCCTTGATCTCAGTGTCCTGGCCGTGTTCCAGCCTGGTTCACATTTTACTCAACAGCAAGTCCCACTTCTGTTCCCGTTAACCTCAGTGGGAACAGAGGCAGACCACTGTAAAGTGCTGCTAATCCCACGTGCCATTTGCATGCAGCGCCTGTAAAGCATTCTGGGATCAGTTTGGGAAAAAAGGCTATGCATGTAAGATGGTTTTCATTGGCATCCCAAATCCGGTGCCATATCAGTGAAAGAAGGTTATGACTTTGTCCATCGGGATAATTTTTTTTTTTTTTTTGGGGGGGGCTAGGCAGCTGATTGGGAAGAATAATAAAGATGAATTTGATTTGCTTTCTGTGAGCTCTAGTGTCCCCTTCATGGAGATTAAAAATTTCCCGGTGCTGTTTTCAGCTCCACAGAGCAAGCAAAAGCTAATCTCCTGCTTGGATATCCTCACACCACTGCGATCCACTAATAGGATCGCCATACAGTTTTGACTTAACAGGCACTGGGAGAGGATAATCCTGTTTATTCGGTCATCCAAAACACTGATGATCTGAGATAATCAGTGGGCTGAGAGCAGGGGAGGAGGAGGGACCTGCGAGGTTTGCTTTGCTGTGTGGTTTGTCTGGTCAGATGCTTCGTGCCAGGGAATGGCTCAATCTCATTACTGCAGCCCAGACGGAGCATGGGAGGGTACCAAAAACCTCCTCCCAACACCAGCCCTGGAGAGCCAGCCTGATAAAACAAGAGCCTTAGCAGTGTCTGGTCCAAATGTTTTGCTCAACAGTTTTAAATTATTCTTTCTGTGACTGATTTAATATAGAAATACTCAGACGAGTGTCCGAGCGGCCACGTGAGGCACTTTGTACAAAACACTTTGGCTACCAGGTGGCAGAGGCTGGGTGTAAATGGATCAGCTCCCAGTGCTCACTCACATTTGGAACCTTACACAAAGCCAGTCCTTGGATCCAATCTTGCTAAAAGTAAAACCAGTTCCATATTTGCCAGACATGAGACACTGCTTTGAATATTTGTGAGTGGCCACTGGATCTCTGGGAATGTAGGAGCACGTGCTGCAAAGCCCTTTCCAAGAAATATAATCTGTAAGAAACTTTCCCCAGTGATTTAGAGATATGCCTTGAAACTGGGCTGTACAGAATCTGTTAGAGGGCATGTTAGTGAGCTTTCAAATTACTTTCTTTTTTTTGCTCTTGTAATCACTAAAGCTTTCACACTTCATATTATAACCCATTAGGTTATTGCCTCAGGTTTCTGTGAAAAGCCCCATCTTCAACTTGATCTCAGTCAATGTGCATTTTGTAGATAGACTGACTTTGAAGCCTCATTTTATGATCTCTGAGCTGTCATAGTCCAGATGACAGGTTTATAGCTTGGGAAGCCAGTAGCAATAGCTGAGCTCACTAGTCTTTATAAGTAATGCACTGTCACTAGGTGCAGCTCCTCACCATGGTGACACTGCAAATATTGAGCACAAAATGATTCATGGGACCCAATACAATGCTTACTTTAATTAATATTTTACAAGATAACTAGCTTTGTTTAACTTTCCAGATGGGAGTGGATTGGGGAGATCCAAAGGACGGAATGTTGCTATGTAAAATTTATGGGCACTCATATTTGTGTGCTTGTTTTTAAAATTAAATTAAGGAAATATTATTTGTTTTCTTCTCTCTCTGCTGGGTCCTGCAAGGGTCTGGGGGATTTTCTGTGTGTCAGTGTTAAATGATGAGCTCTGAAAAGCAATGTTCTTGCTCTCCTGCCTTGCTCCCTCCCTTTGTATTCCCATGCAGTCAGTGTTGCAGGGCTGTGTCCTTCCTGCGAGTGCTTTGGGATACCATGTGCAGAGAGCACAGTGCTGTGGCCCAGCCCTGGCTGGAGGGGCACAGCATCACTGGCTCTGCTCCAGGTGACCAGTGGTGCATCCTGACCATCAGACCCCTCAGACTCAAGGTTTAGCCATATTTCCCTGAGGAAATTACATGTTTTGGGTAAGTAACGCGGGATTCTTTACCAAGGTTGGCAGGAAGTAAAGGAGTATGGCAGTTGCAGGCCTTTGGGGCAATACAGGAAATTATTAATTAGGAAATTAGCCCCAGTGGTATGCTATGATGAGCTTATTCCAAATTTCCATGCACCTTAACTGGAATTCATTGCACCTAAAGATCAATATATAGACCAGGAAAAGAGTTTTACTTGACAGAGGATGATGCATCAGCCCATCTATTTAGGTGGTGGTCACATCATCCATAGAAGTGGTCAAATCCAGGGTCTTCCCTTTGGATATGTCCTAACAATCTGAGATATCAGTTCACATTCACAGCCATGACCTCTCACAGCAGTGTCACAATGACCAACATGGGGGAGTACAAACCACTGAAGAAAAACTGTTTCTCAGTGCTGAGGTTTATCTGTAAATTCCCCTACTACAACTAAGATTTCCTTTTGTAGTTTTTAGAACTGTAACTGTAAATAAGCCAACATTATTGGATCTTTTAAACTCACGAGCATTCTTCTACAAGCAGAAAAAGTGGCCCATCATTACTCCTGTTTGTCACAGGGCTCCAAGAAATGCCCATTAGTGTGTGTCCAACCCCTTTATATAAAACTGAGAGCAATGAAGTCACTGACAGCGCTTTTATTTGTCTGTATTGAGTCCTGAATAGATGGCAGAGAAAAAAAATCCTGCATTAATAAAAGAATAAATTCCTCTTCACGTTAACATAAAATACTTCTAGGATGATGAAAAGATTTGGGTTCACTCCAGTGTGGTTTTCCCCGTGTGGTTGGTTTTTGCATTTCTTTCAACTTGCTCTTTGTAATCCATTTCCAGTTGGGCTTTTTTATTTTCCAAGTCTGACATATAGCGTGATGTTACAAATTCTGGCCTGTGGAAGCTTGAGGAATATTTATTTGTTTAGGCAAAATATCTTTCCTTCCGAGTCTATTTTAAATGCCATAGAAATGTTTTCTTACTCCTTTTGTTTGTCGTTGTTGGTTATTAGAAACCTCTGCTCAAGGTCACCAGTGACACAACCATCCTTTGCAGGAGGCATTTCCAGGGATTTTGCGTGGATGGCTTCAGGAAGTCAGGAGGGGATGATAGAGAGGAGAGGAAGATCAAGGGATAAGAACTTTTTCTACAGTATTTGAAAGCTTTCTTTTTCTTTGCAATATGTAGTAGAAGAAGTAACCATGAGGCAGGAGTTGAAAGCTGAAGCTGTGAAACACAAGCCTGGCCCAGTCTGATGTCAGGGGACAACCTCTGGTGAGCTTTGTTTCTTTCTCTGTCCTTGTGGTTGGGAATATGCCATGATTTAAAGCTGCTGTAGCATTAACTGCCCCATTACACACAGCAGAAAGCTGAGGGACCGACCTCATCTGCTAGAACAAGTGTTTTAATGCTGTCCAAAGTTCAAATCAATCAAAAGGTCAAGCTTGTTTAAGACAGTGAGCGATAAGGGGGGTGGGGGGTGGGATGTCTCGGGAAGCTCATTCCTAGTTGTTGGAATTAAGCCAGCCTGGCTGCAGGAAAATCTCCAAATAGCAAGAACCCTGGAGAACAGTGACAGCTGGGAAACTGTGGGCTGAACCTCCCCTTGCTGGAGCCAGAAGATTCCCATCAAATACAACAGAAGAAGAATAGACCCTGGGAGGGATGGAGGGAGGGATGGGAGGGAAGAGGGAACTCACACCTTGCTCAGTTGAGACTGGACCTTTTTCCCACACCATCAAAGGCAGAGTTTTGCCCTCTCAGTGTTTTCTTCTGTGCAAGGATAACATGGAAAACTTTCTGTGGAAAACTCTCCTTCTGGTTTTGTGAGGAGCTGCTCAGCACTTTGGAAAACTCCTTCCCATAGTTTGTAATGGCTGCTTTTTCAAGGGTCTAATGGCTTTATTTAAAACAAACCAAAATAAATTAAAAAAAAGGCAAGAGGGGCTGAGGACTTCTTAGAGTATGTTCCTGCCATTTGAGTTGTATGATGGGGGGCATTAGTGGGGAACCCATTAGCCTCCGTGGCACATGGCCATGCTTTCATAAGCTTGCAAGACAGGATTTTTTCTATATACTTTTTTGTGTGTGCATGTCAAAGAAAGCATTCTCCAAGGGCCAACTACAGAAAAAAATCCCTGGTCTTTTTGGCAGAATTCCCTGGTACTTACACAGCCAGGATTTTCTGTGCTCCAGCTCTGGTGTGTGACCCATGCTCTCAACACATCCAGGACCAAATGAGGATCTTTTGACTCAGGGCTGAATCTGACCATTTTTCTTCTATGGAAAAGATGTAAATAATTCTAGGGATGGGTGAAGAAAGGTGATATTTGGAATAAGGAAAGGTGATCCAGGCTACTGGCCTGGCCCTAAGAGGAAGGATGGGTTGAAGACCAAGCCATAGACCTGCTGTATCACAGGACCACTATTGCTTATAGGTTTGATGGGAAGCAACAGAAAGACCCCCAGACCTGGAGGGAGGCTACACAGAAGCTTGGGGGCTGTGCTGGTGGATGAACAGCCACTCATTTGTGTTACCACATTGCTCATATCCAGCTGAAAGTAAATGGTAACTGAAAGCACCATGGTTCCCTCTGTGCTCTGTTCTGCAGGAGCACTAACACAGTGCACTAACATAGTGCAGGCAGAGGGTGTTTTGGCTATCCTGGGCCTGTTGCTGTTGATGTTGGTCTTCTCAGCAGCGAGCAATACAGTGGCTACAGGTTTACCAATCCAGTGGCCACTGCACACCCCAAAAGAATTGGCATGGAATTAAGAAATAGAGGGTGTCCCTTGGGAAGGCAGGAGGCATCATAAGCCTGGGATGCAGCTGAAGAGCTGGCAAAAGTTCCCTCAGTCCAGCTCCAGACTGCTCAGCCCATGAGGGCACCTGCCTATCTGGTCCCTCCAGGCACCAAGTCAGGCCTGTGCTGCTTTCACTCACCTGCAACTTCACCACTGGCAGAACCAGCAACGTTGCAACAGAGAATGTGGATTTTTCTGAGCTCTGATTCATGACACCAGATGTGCCTGTGCTTTTTTTCAAGCTCATTTGAATGTATGCAATGGACATCTAGCTTTGAAAAATCATCGTTTGCCAGATGTCTTTTAAAATCATCAGTTACCAGATGTCTTTTAAATTGTAAACCTCTGTAGTCAGAGGTTAAAACTGTGTCAAAACAGGCACTGATAAGAATTCATATTACATTTAAAATGTACTATGATTTCCTCCAGCTCTTTCCCCTGAGAAGTTCTTGCATGGAAATTTTATGGCTCGCAAAAGATTTGCCACCCACCCATTGCTATAGATTCAGTGATAAATGCTTTTAATAATTAACAGTGGCAGGGGGCCTCTGTCTCATGGATATCTCACCTCTCAGACAGCAGAAATAAGGCCTGTTGAACAGGAAGAGTCCTGAGGGCTGCACAGTGGTGGAGGGTTCCTCTAGCTGTACAGTTTGGGTCCCAGTGCAGATCTTCTACGACTGGAGTTATTTGTGAGTAGGATTTTGTCCTGCACCAAGTTTGGAGCTCAAGGCAGCCAGAGGAGCAGGGATGCTTGAAGAATTCCTAAGGTAAAAGAGGTCTGGGGGCAGTTTGGGGCTGGAAAGAGGCTGTGCCAGTCACAAGGACAAACAGGTTAGGCTGTGAGTTTCCTTCCTAATCCGACTCTCCAGAGTCTCATCCAGCCTCTGTGCTGGCTGCCAAAAGCTCATACTGAGCCGCTATTTTGGGATACAGCAACACCAAGTGTTACTTCAGAGATGTTTGGAGAGAGATTTAATAAAATCAACTAATAAGGTTTGACGTGCTGAAGATTAGAATGAGCCATTCTGAGCATCTGTGCTGACCTTGGGGGTGGGAGGCTCAGGGGAGTCAGGGGGTGGGAGGCTCAGGGGAGTCATGTGTGTCGAGGGCATGGATGCCCTCCTGGGATGGCTGGTGGGACAGGACTGCAAACTGCCTTGGGATGTCACCTTCTGCTTTTGTTTTGATGGTTTAGGTTGGGGTTTTTTTTGCCTTTTTTGTAATAGAACCAGCCCAGACTAGAATCACGAGATTGGTGTTTATTACTTTCCAAATAATCTATACTCTGGTTTTAGTGCTGACACCGTATGAAGGGCTGTGTCACCGCTGCACTCATGTTTCCATGTGACACCAGAGATTACTGTTTTTTCCCATTTCATAACTAATAAGTGAAGTGAGTTTGATAGCCTTGGTTCCCATGTCACAGATAGGCTCAGTTAGCAGCAAATTCTTGTCAGGAGAAGAGAGTTACAGCTCAAGCTTAAAATGTGCTAGCGTCCAGTGCAAAGCTTTAAATTCTTGACCAAAGTTAGATTAGGCCAGCTGAAAGTGTGACGTTTGAAATACACTATCTATTTATCTTTTCCTTCTGACCAAAAATACCTAGAGTGCAAGTATGTGTCTTTGCATCCAAGCAGAGAACAGTTGAGCTCCTCTAGAGAAAAGTATAAACACAGAACTTTAAATATTCTGTTTGTTAAAATCTGTGCAACTGTCCCTCTCCCTACATGTGTATATATTATCTATATTAAAAAAATTGTATGTATATACAGATCATTAAAGAAAAAAGAATGATTAGTTTTCAAGGTATAGGAAGCTTATTTAAGTGGCAGTAAGAAAAAATTGTTAGCTCTCCCCCAGTAGTCATTAATAGCTCCGAGCTCCAGCCTGAGTACAGATGGAGCTTTGATATGATCACAGTTTTGCAGTGAGTATGTGCTGCATATCGGGCTGCTAATCCCGGGGTGGAAATCACCTCCTCCTAACACCTGGTGCTGGGACCTGACACAACTGATTTCAGCTACAGCTTATGCAGCCTCATGGGCTGGATTTGGGCAGCTCAGAAAGCACTGGGCACTCTCTGCCTGGTGCTGTGTGCTGATGTCCTCCCATAAAACCTCCCCTCTGGAGCTGCTGTCCCAGGCTGCCCTCCTGGGCCACTTTCAGCCTGAACATTCATTCAAGCCCCTTTTCTCTGTGCTGGATGGGTGCAGGGTTTGTGTTTAAACAATGGTTTTAGTTATGTTTTCCAGCAGGATGAGCTGTCCCACCTCCCAGCTTGGGTGAGGGAGGAACAGTGTGTGAAATACAGCAGCTTCTGAGGTCAGATGAGGAGCAAGTGCCTGTGGAGTAGGGAGCCCTGGGCCCTTTGGCTACAGCTCTGGGCATCTTCAGGGAATGCTGTTTCCAGAGCCTCCCTGGCTGCCTGGGGCTTGGCAGGGAGCATAAGTGCCATAAAAACTGGATGTAGAGTCCGGATGGTTTTGGCCTCTTTGCTAATTTTCAACAATCAGATCTTGTTATTTAAGAGTTTTCTAGAAGCTGAATGGAAGACTGGAGGGGGTTTTGGAGGGGCTTTTTTGGTAATAGTTTGCTAAATTTATGGTTTAGATCTGAAGGGACCCTTAGCCTGACCTCTGGTATATAACAGGGAGTATTGAATTTCCTACACTTAACTCCCACAGTCTATCCAAGAATTGCCTAATCACAGTGCTTTCCTAGGAAAGCAAACACTTAAATGCACTCATTTCAGCATGGTAGAAATGCTTGTTATTCCTGATAGTTAGAATGAACAGGGATTTTCAAGAAGGCTCTTGGATAATCTCCTGACCAAGGCTTTCCCTGCCTTCCCCTTGATCCCATCCCTCTCCCCATACTGCACCCCCCGTGCTGCTTGTCTCCTTTCCTGGTTGTGCTGAAGGTTATAGAGATATTAAATAAGCTTGAGGGGCAGAGGAAGAAGAGGTATCCATTTTGGGAATTAGGAAGGGGCAGACATGTAACCCAGCTCAGCAGCAATGGGGTTAATCTGACTGTGCCCCACATTTGGGTGGGAATTTTTGAACTCAAACCAGGTATTTATTATTCCACATAGATGTTTGCAATGACATATGAGCCATCACTGCTGTTCCTTTGCCTTGCAATGGCACCGTGACAGAAACCCTGCAGGACCAGGCACTGCACCAGTGCAGAACAAAAAGCTTTCCCTACCCCAAAGAAGTCTGAGACTCACAAGGTAATTACTTATCTTTGTCCATTAATTTTCCTTTTTTTTTTTTTAAGTACCCAGATAATATTGTTTCTCTCCCAGCCTCAAAGTACAGTGACAAATAAATGATTTCAAGTATCCTCCTGAGATAGGGATGTTGCCAGCAGGCACTGATCCACCTGTGGTGATGGAAGGTTGAGGGATTCATGGGGGAATGACAGACCTGGAAAGCTGCAGCATGGCTTTTCTAAAATGACACAGCCAAAGATATTCTAGAGATTATATCCTCCAAAAACTCGGTGGTCAAGGGCTTAATGACTTAAATAGCGGTCAAATGTCTGCTTGTTATCAATCACCTGTTGCCAGTTGAACTGCATTAATGAGGGTTTCTTGATAAAAGCTGCCTTATCATCCGGAACTGAGATACCCAGCCTAATGTGCTCCAGCAAGGCTTGAGGAAATGCTCCTCTTAGTAGCAAAGCAGACGATGTGTCGCTTTCCTGAATTAGCCTGAGTCAAATGGATGGTCAGGCCCTCCAGAAAGAAGCAATTTCTTTCACCGCTTGTGTTACAGGAGTGCTTTATCCTTGTGTCAGAAAGCATTCTGGCTGTCTTGCAAGAGTTTAGAGTCCAACCAAACACACCTTGGTGGCCATTTGCAGTGGCCAGGGTTGAAGGTCACAGGGCAGGGTCACCGTGCCCTGAGGGGATGGCACAGGGTTTCACTGTACATCCCCCCGCCATAACCACTTACCTCCTTGGAGAAAATGGGTTGGAAATGGTATTTAACATTGTCGATGACAATTTTTCCAGATTTATTACCTGTTTTTTGTTCACTGTTTGGCTGCCTGCTCCCCTTCCATCTGCCAGCCCTGTAATCCACCTCCTCTTATCTCAGCACAGTTCGCTCCACCTCTTGCTCATTTTTGTTTTATTGCCCAGCTAATCTCATTCTCCTGCTTTTCCTGACACTGCTCCCCTCTCCCCATCTGTGGAGATTAAATCACTTCTCCTTTTGTTTGATGCCGCTCAGCATTCCCCATTTCACTCAGGCTTTGGGATACTTCCAGGCACTTTTGCTGTTGTTGCACACATCCATTTTCCTGGCACAAAAAGGCCCATCAGCATCTGATGGAAGCGTTACTGAGTCCTCGTTTCAACCAGTTCTCAGAGATGTCCTGAATGGGAAATGGAGCTGAGCTCAGTCTGCACAGTGAAGCAGAGGCAGGTGTGTGTGTGTCAGGATCTCCAGGAGCATCCACAGGGTGCTCAGGGCAGCTCTAGAGTGGTGACAGAGCCTGGCATCTGAATATTAGCCAAGAAAACTCGAGATCAAAGGCGTGGGGTAAAAAATCTCCAAGCTACCAAAATGTGAACTTTTGGAAGTGGTTTTCAATATTGTTGGTAATGTATCAGTGTAGTCAACCATCATCCCTATTTACATCTAGTGGCTTGTCAGTGTTCATGGCCCCAACAGTGTCATTCTAGTTACTGCTGAGAGTTGCCGGGGGTTTTAGGCTCAAGGCTGAAGCCAGTCTCCCTGTTCAAGGGTGTTAAGTGCATCCTGGTTTGGGGCACAACTGCAGCTGTGGGGGAGGACGGTGGATTTTCATGCCCTGTGTTTCTGGCACCCTTCCACCTTCCTGCAGAGAGAACAGTGCTGGAGACTCCCCTACCAGTATTTCCTCCTCCTGTGTGACTGTGCAAGTCCACTGACTGCACTGCTGCTCGTGTTGGCTCAGAACTGGAGCCAGCAGAGCCTTTAACCCCCTGGCAAACCCTGGACAATTTCAAAATGCCTTGCAGGGACCACATGCACTGACAGGACTCCTCACAGCTGTCAGTCGCTGTTCCTCCTCACTGTGAGCACCCCAGAGTGTTTGCTGCCAGAACAAACCCTAAAGTCTTCAAATAACCCCCCTTTGAGTACATGGGAGATGCTTCCCTTAGCAAGGACAGCTGCTGTTTGGCCCTAATCATTGAGTTTAAATGTTTTTTTTATTCTGTTTGGGTTGTATCTTGCCTTAATCTCCACTTGCAATGCTAACCATGATCCATTTGCTATATGTCCCCTCACTACTTTTATCTACCAACGTGTTTTAAATAGGTTTAAAGAGTACAGGAGCTAAAAAAAAAAAAAAAAAAAAAAATCAGGCAGCTTCAGATGAAAGCCAGCAGCAGGCCTTTAAAAATAGAGTGGCAGCCCTGCACGAGGTGCCGAGTAAGTGGGTGCACGGGAGGGGAGCGGAGCGGCTGCAGAGGCTCTGTTTAAACAGGAGGTAAATAAGTGGCTGGGGGAGCTGCAGTTCATCTTGTTCCCTTACGTGTTGCCCAGATAATGCAACATATCTTCAGGCAGGCTGGTTCTAAAAATGGACACAGCTCTTGGGTTTCACTGGGTGACGCTCGGGCTGCGCTGTCCTACAGCCTGTGGGAGCAGTGAAATGGCATTTAGTGTTTCAAAAGCAGCAGCAGTGCTCAGGTCTTGTCACTGGTACTTTATGAAGACTTCTATAATGAGGAATGTGTGACTTTATACCATGGTGCCTAATGCAGAAGCAGCTGCCTGTAAATCCCTGGGGTCAGGCAATGTTTTGTTAAAATTCCCCTTCCTGCTGTGGTTGACCTGTGAAAACAGCAATCATCTGACAGTGACAGCAGCACTTAATTAGTAATTCAGGATTAAAGTGTTCTGTCCAATGAGTAATTTCACAGAAGCAGAGTTTAGAATTGGAGCTGGTTTAATATAACAAAACTATTGTCATGAAAGCCTCCTTGGCATTTTAATGGTGTTTTTCTTTGGTCTAAATATACATGAGAAGTTGAGAGGATGTTTAAATCTGAGCAGGGGATAAAAGGGACCAAGAGAAAGACTCAAAGGTCTTGTCCAAACTCCACACAGTTGTGTGAGCCACTGGCTTCCCTAGGACAGGGCATCATCCCAGGGAGCTGCACTATTCACCATTCCTCTCGCTGCTCCAGGAGTGTTAGTGTCTTTATCTTCCTTCTCACCCTCCTCTCTCCTGCCACAGCTCAGCTGTGCAAAGGATGAGTATTTGTTAACCTCCAGTGGCTGCAGTAATGGTCAACTGGCCCTTCTGTGCTACCAAAGAGACTGTGTTTGGGTTGGGCACATGCTGCTCACTGACGTGGAGAATTCTCCATTTCTTTCTAATGAGACTTCTCAGGCTGTCACTGTTCAGCAAATTCAGGAGAGAAAGGGCAGCAGGGCCCCTTGACCAAACCATGGCAAGCATGTTCTGTAGAAGGCAGCAGAGACTGCAGCCTTCCCTGTGGGAATAAAGTGATCCTCTGTTGAGTGAAGTGTTGCCTACAAGGTTAATTAGCTGTAGAAAATGAGCTCGAATACTTAGGAGCAATGAATCATAATGAATCGTTATGTTTGAGGAGTGACAAATTAAATTCATGCATATTTTGAACTACTTGTTTTAGTCAGAATGGAAAATAGTGCTATGCTTTTTTCTGTTGTTCTACCTTCACGTTGAGATGTCAGGAAGCAAATCAACATGGCCAGAGTTTGTAAAGTCTGGCAGTGTTTGATTGCACAATGTTTAATCTCTCTCCTGAGTCTTTGAGCTGGGCTAGGAGCAGGGGCTTCTCTGGAATAAGTACATTTGCCTCCACCTTCAGTAGATGGGATTTTGACCTGAAGAAACCCAAAACTTCTCCTAAGCTAAAGAGAAAGTATTGTCCTAATCCTGTGAGTGTTAGTGTCCTATGGCAGCTCTGATTGAGGTGTAGCAATCTCATATAGGAAAGCAGGTTGAATTACAGCCCCATCTCCCAGACCAAGGTGAGTCAAGGGACCTATTTGTAGCAAGATTCATCAGATCCTTCAGCTCCTGCTGTTCCCAGAAGAATCTCTGGAGTTTTTCTGTGGAATTAGATCCAGCAACATAACAAGCTAAGGGGCAGACAGGCATTGTAACCTTTGAAATACCTGGAAAGTAAGGATAAGCAAGCTACTCCTACCTGGAAGATAACTTCTGGAATCTCAATGTAAGATGAAGGACACTGTGAAAAAAGAGGATCTTGATAAGAAGAATTTGTTCTTAGCCCCCTTCAAGGATCATAACATATCCCTGGGTGAGCTGAAGCCTGACACAAGCTGCTGTGCTTTGGGGTATTCTTGGTGTGGTCCCAAGGCTCAGCTGGTTCAAGGCTGGAGGAGCTGTGAGCAGGGGGAGGATTTGAATTCACAGCCTCTCTTTTAAATAGATCAGTGGTTCCAGGAGGGCAAGTGATACCGCTGCAGTGATTAAGTTCTTTGCTGGATTGATGCCTCTGGAAGTGTTTGGAGAGATTTGACAGATCTTTCAGTCTGTTGAAGGTTTCCATGGTGTTGGCCCAGCCATGACTGTGTGAGGCAAACTGTTTGTGTCACCCCTGGGAGAAGGCATCTTTCTCACTCACAGAACAAAGACCTCTTGGGTGTTCAAAGACAAAAGGTACCAACTGACATTTAGTTCTGCTACTAATTATATGTCAAAAACTAATACAAGTTAAGACTAAATTAGTACACTTCTCCAGATGTTTTCACAGTTGCCCTGCCTGCAGCACTGTGGGTTATGTTCTGAGTTGTTAGGTACTCAAACTGGTCCTTCTCATCTCCGCTGATGTGGTTGCTCCTGGCATGATCAGGTGCAAACTCCCACTTATTAAGTGCTATGAAGGAATCATTCTGACACAAAGTGGAAAATTCTCCTTGGGGTTCAGAGCTCTTGCAAGAGGCAGCCAGTGAGGTGGCTGCTTATAGAGCTGACCCCATGCTTCAAGATGTGTATTCATATATAATATCTGTGAAAGCAGCTATTCTTGCTCTTGCCAAACTCCTCAGAAGACCCATAAAATGATGTTAGTTGTAAGCCACAAGCTGGCTCTTATCTTTGAATTGTTTTTCTCTGACAATTTTAAGAAGAGCTCAGCATGTTCTCAGTAGGAGCTGATGGATGCTGAGCACTTCTGAAATCCTGCCAACTTCATTTAGGTTCCTAAATGGGAACTGAGTGCTTTTGAACATATGATCCTAAGGGTGCATTTCATAACACTATAGCTCTGTCCATATCATTTCTTTCCTCTCTCACTGTCCCCAGAATGCTCCCAGCAGCAGCAATAACACCAGGAGCACTGGGCTAGTCAAGGCTTGAGTGATGCCTCAGTTATGATGTCAGCTCAAGCCACACTGAACAGAATTAAATGACAGCAGTTAAAAGGTGCCTGTCTGCATCCAGTCTGCAGTAAGGTCACCATCATCACTGCCAGCATTATGGATATATTTGAGATAGCTGTGGTAGATTTTATATATATGTATGTATATGAAAACAAAAATCTAGTGCAAATTCTGCCTTGTTTTTCAGAGTATTTCATCCCCTGTTTCAGGCCACGTGCACTCTACTCGACAATGCTCTGACTCTCAATTTCGGGATTCAAATTTTCTCCTAAGTAGGTTCGTGGGGCAGATATAATAAATATTTTTTAGTGTTTGTGGAGCAGGGTAGGAGGGCAGACAAGCCTTTATCTGAAGCTTTTCCAGCAGAGTTAATGCATGGACAGCATCTGTTTTGGTCCTGTGAGGCTGACATCCTCTCCCAGCAGACTTGGCAGTGAGCAGAAGAACCACATGTCAAAAAATCTGGGGGGCCCATGCGCTGTGGACAAAAGTATGGCAAAGAATTTAAACATCAGTGAGTGGAGTGATGCTGGAGGGCTGGCTGAAAGCGATTAGCACAGTGCTCTGGAATGTGGCGTTTCAATAGCCGCTCCAGAAGGATCTGCAGCCCCATTGACTTCTGCAGCGTCAGGAAAGAGCCCTCACACTCCAGCTTTTGCCAGTGTGAATGGGAACGTGCAGGGCTGTGTGTGCAATCACAGAGCTCCCTGCTCTGGCTCTGCACACCCTGCCCTGTGTCCTGCTGATGGGGAGTTTCCTTTGCTCCACGGGAATCCGATGCCCCAGTGACTCAGGTGGCTCTGGGTCCTCCTGCGTTGCCAGAATCCCCCCTTGTCAAATCTGCATCAGTATCAGCTCTAGCTTTGCTGTTTGCCTACCCTGGGCCAAAGCACCAAAGGCCACCTGTGGCCATGATCCAGCTGTTGTCAGCTGTGCAGTCAGGTGGTGGGTGGTGTGGAGTTTGGGTGTTTTGTTGCCACGTGTGTCAGTGTGGGGCCTGGGTGTTTTGTTTCCACTGCTGCTGCGTTTTGGCCTCTTTGGGAATGCACCAAGTGGGACTAAGAATGTGTCTTTGTTCACATTCACTTGTTTAATTTTTTTTCTTTACATTTTCCTCCCCCCCCCCTTCTGATTTCTAGGTAGATAATCAAAGTGTGAAATAAATTAAAAATAAAGCTGGGTAGAAGGCCTGGCTGGTGAGAGCACATACATTTTTAGTTGAGGTGGGAGAAGAACGCGCTCATTCAAGCCCTCATGGAGGGCAGGGAATTCCCTGGCTTTTGTCTAAATATGGCATGAGAGAGCGGAGCACAGGCAGTGCAATGCTTCACTGAGTATTGTTTAAAAGGGAGCTTGGCAGTGGCCAGCAAGTAGGATTCTTGTGAAAACATGGCACAAGGAGTTGTTTGACAGATTCTGACATAGCAAAGTCTTTACAAGGGGCAAAAAAAAAAGAAGGAAAAGAGAGAAACTGCAGAGTACATGAAGCCAAAAGCATAGTCTCTGCCTAGAAGATTGCAGAATAAAAGGCACTTAGCACTGAGTCACACCCTGCAAGCTCTGTGGGTCTGATTCTCTCAGTGATCGATTGCACTGAGTTAAAATCCTCTCCTAAATGATTGCCTGTTGTCAGTCATCCAGAAGAGGGGATGAAGAGGAGTGAGAGCTGGGGAGGAGACTGCCATGGCTTGCACCCACTCACCAGAGTCTCTATCTCAGACTTGCCTGGTTGGATGGACCCATTCTCTGCCATCCCATGTTTCCCCCTGCGGGTAAATGACGTTTCACTAGCAGGTTTTTGGATGCAGCACTCAGTCCCAAGCAATCCCGTGGTTTGTGTAGGTGTCTCCCTTTTGCAAAGCTTATGCTGAGTTGTGGCTTTGAATATCTATTGCAGCAGTGAGCAATGATTCCTGCCTGGAAGAAAACCCCTCTCCCACTGCCTCTGCCACGTCTGGAGACATTGCGAGTCCCTCAGAGCAAAGAGGCCTTTACACATCTCAGCAATGGAGAATTTTGCCTCCAGAATTCCAAGTCTGCTCTTGAAATTTGGCCATTATGTGTGTTTTGAGAGAGGGAAAACTTATCTAGGATTCAGTGCATTTATGGAGGTCTCAGATGGAGACACTTCACTCGGTAACTCTGCTACTGACACCAGCTACTGAACAGACTGTGTAGCTCATACAGAGGAGGTCTTGGCTCAGGCTTCCCCATTTAAAGTGGAGCATTCACCTTGAATGCAACATCCATGCTCAATCACAGCTGGAGCTTCCTCACATCGAAGATAAGACACTCTTCCTCTGGTTGGTGGTTTGGATGGTGTCCTGCAATGTAAACTAGAATGATAGGAGTAGTCTGTAATTAGCACATAACCTCAGGCAGTTTTGTTCCTGAAATGCAAGGCCTAAGTTGTTCTGCTGCAATAGCATTGGTTTAGTGAGTCCATTAACTGCTCTGCATCATGTTAGTGAAAGCTGTTCCCTAAGAGCTGCAAAGGTATGGAATAGGAACCAGGAGTCTCTGATCCAGTCCTGCAGGCATCTTCCAGTGAAACCAAAGGGAAGCCCATCATATGTGTTGCCCGTGAGATGCACCCCATGGCAAAGCAACGAAGCCCAAGAGTTTCTGGATGATCTTAGCAAAGCTCGGGGGAGAGCAAAGGCATGGGAGCACTCCTGTACCCTTTTGAACATTTCAGTTGATGTTGTTAATTGTAGTGGAGCTGCTGCAAATATTTTGGAAAGCAAATATTTGATGTCCCCTTCCAGCAGAAAATAAGTCGAAGGACCAACCTGCTGCCACTCACTTGGTCATTGCAACAAAACCGGGGCTGAGAATCAATAGCAACGATGTTGAGCTTTTGTGGTCACCTCCTCTCCAAACAAGGGCTGTGATGTGAGAGCAAACAACACCTGCTTGGAGGAACTGGGCACAGGCTGAAAGGGACCTGGTGGGCAGAGGCTGTTTGTGCAGCACTGGGCTCTGGGGTGGGGCTGCTGGCAGAGGCAGGAGGAAGATGATATCTCCATTAGCCCGTGCTAATGCCAGAGGCAGAAATGGGCGAGCTCCTGCCTTCCCTGTGCCCTGGCTGGTGAGTGATGGACAACGACTCCGCCGTGCCTGCCAGGAGGAAAGCCCTGGAGTGGGACTGCCATCCAGCCAGTCCTGCTCTTGCCTGGGGTGTGAGTCACATCAGAGGACAAATCGAAGGGTTTTCACAAGGAGAAAATTGGGCAGCTCCTTGTGTGGCAGAGGCAGCAGATCTGTCCCCACTCACATCTCTGCCCAAGTATGAATTCTCTAAGGAAGACCAATATCACTTTGCCCTAACTGGAAAGCAGGGGAGATGGCACGTACTTCACATGCTCTGGCTGGGCCCAGATACCCAATGTGCAAGTGATCTGCTTTTGGGTGCTGCTTTTTTTCTTAATCTTATTTTTTTTGTTGTTTTTAGCCTTCTAAAAACAAACTTCGGATTCATCAACTGGAAGTGATCTCATCACATTACAGATTCGCTTTCCTGGGAAACTGAACTTCTGGTATAATCATGGGAAAGTCTCACCTTCCCTTTTTTATTTTCTTTTAACTGAGTTTCTATTGAAATTAGCTTGGCAGACCAACACCTCAGAACGAAAGACACAAAAGAAAACCCTTTGTTGCTACTATTTTTTTTTAATCTTTTTATTTTCTTACCAATCTCATGATTTTGGAGATAGCAAGTGATATTTGGATATTTAAAGACACATATTCAAATCTGTAGGGTAGGCAGGGTCCTAAATAATACATTTTACCAACAGTCTGTTTATCCCACCGCTGGCAAAAAAATAGAGGCAAACCCTAATAATTAATTACTGCTCTTTGAACTGCAACATTTTTGTTCACTCCTACCCTTTTTCTAGCTTTTATAAATGCTCTGCACAACTGGAAGGTGGCTCAGCAAAGCCAGTGCAGTATCTCTGTAGCCAAGCAAGGACAGACTTGGCTCCTCTTCAAAGGGAGCTTTTATCGAGTGTTTAGTGTGATGTGACAAAGCAGGGAAGTCTGCCATGGATGCAATGCTTCCAAATCCCCACCTTCTACCTTGATTGAACTTGAGAACAATTATCCCT